CTAGACTTGACCGGTTGCATCCGGACAGACTGCCTTCATCTACCTCACATCCTAGGGCACCTAGACAACTACTTGTGGGTGCCCCGGTTTGGGCTCGCAATTACGGGCCTGGTCATACATGGGTCCCCGCTTCTGTGTCCAGGATCACAGGTCCTCTCTCCTACGAGGTTGCCCTGGACAACGGTCGTGTCCTGCGTCGGCACATCGACCAACTTCGCTCTAGGCGAGACTTTTCTGCTGAGACTCCTGGGTCTTTTCCAGGGGGGGAGGGGGACCCTTTGGAGCAAAGGGAAGGGCAAGAGCTACTGCCCATCTCCACTGAGGGAGCCACAAACGGCTCGTCCCAAGGTTCTGCAATTGCTCCGAAAAGAAAGTCATGGAGCTTACCCACACAACAGGCACTCACGCCTACTCCAGCCAGGGAGTCACCCCGGGGGCATACTCACTTTCCACACACATCACACAGCACTCCAGCAACGGAGGATACCCGGGGGCATCCCAACAAATCATTCCCCGCAAGAGAGCTGGCACACAATTCCCAAGGTTGGCCTGACCTTACCCCAAATCCTACAGGGGGTCAAACATACACAGAGCTAGTCGAGGAACCAAGTCCCGACTACAACAACCCTAGCACAAATCAGGGAACACCTGAGTTTTGGGAAAGTACAGAAACCCACATGAGCCCGAACACAGAATGGGGTTCAGGGAATGGACAGCCTCCTGACAGGTCTTGGACTGACCTAGGAGGTTCTACAGAGACGCCCAGCAGCGGCTATCACTTCAAGGGGCCTGAGGGTCTACAGCTAGGTAGGTCAACCAGGTCACAAAGTAACAGAAGCCCTGGCCTGACGAGCCCGGTGGGCAAGCAAGCAGGCCAGGCATCGGGGCACAGTCCTTGGAAGACACCAGGGCACAATAGAGAGAACAGGCTCACGCCTCCCTCCAGTCAGGGGACTTATGCCAGTAACCCAGAGCTAAGAAGGTCACAGAGAGCAAAGAAATCTCCTAAGTATCTAGAAGATTACATAACATTGCTGGCAAGGCAAAAGCCAGTAATCAGTGGGAGCACTGGGGAGCAAAATGTCATATAAAATAAATGTTGTATGTTGGTAGTAGTTTTAGCCCGGGGGAAAGGGGTGTTATGTCCCGAGCCTTGCAAACGGCTCGGGCGTTTGCAGGCAGTCCCGGGCAGGTGCAAAGCTGCCCGGGACCAGACAGGCTGTCGCCAGCGCCGTGCGCATGCGCGGGTGCTGGCGCGGGAAAAGTAACCCATTTACCCGGGAGTTGCCTATATAAGAGGCTGCGAGGCGTTTGGGCGAGGCTGAAGCCATCTTCCTGTAAGCTGAACGCTGAATAAATGAAACTGAGAACTCCAGCTGCTTCTCGTGTCTGTTTTCCCGCCACGGACTCAACAGTCACTACAGTGGTACCACGTTTTGATGGATTAGACAAATGGATGGCATCCTTTTAGTCCTTTCTGAATAATGGGATAAAAGTTAATGTAGGTCTCCTAGTCTTTTATTGTTTCAGGCAGACATAGCATAACAGTAAAATAAAGAGGAAGGAAGTGGCACTTGGGGCCAGTAAAATGGTAATAAGCCTGCTTTTGATGTTGTTAGTCATAGTGCAGAGTTGGCAGCTGGCTCGAACCAGTCAAGATACACTTTGCTTCGAGGATCACACAGTTATAACAGTAGCAAAAATAACATAAAGCAATGCTGAACAATCACAACTCAATATCCTGAGTGCATTTCATTCTTTAATTTCTTTTCTTTGTTCCCATAATGTCAAGGAAAATAGAATTTCTCTGTGTGAATTCTCTGGCACAAGTGTTAGTCAGCAATGCAAAATCAAAGGGGAGTTCATGCTGTGGACATTGCTGGAGCTGGGATGTTGCTTACAAACACATCGGAATTTTCCTTTTCAATCTTTTCATGAACATAGAGATAAGAGAATCAGGGGCTTGACCCAACTCATCACTACTTATCATAGGGATCCTGTAAAATATATATGGATCATGGCATTGTGTAGTTACCTAGAACCCGCTGGGGTAGTGGTTAAGGTACTGGGCTAGAAACTGGATGACTGTGAGTTCTAGTCTCACTTTAGGCACAAATTCAGCTGGTTGATCTTGGATCAATCATTCTCCCTTAGCCTTAGAAAGAATGCAGTGGCAAACTGCTTCCAAATTCTTGCCAAGAAAACTGCAAAAACTAGTGCAGGTTGTCTCTAGAAGTCATCATTGACTCAAGGGCACCAAAATACAAAAAATTATTAGCATCCAAAACACTGAAGCATAGTAGTGTTGGAAGCAAAGTCTTCATCCTGGTTCATCCAAGCCGGGAATAAATAAAACAACATGGCGACTGCTTTGGGAAGAAAGTTACAGTTTATTGAAGACCCAGACTGACAGATGGTTCTGGCAGGAAGGAGGAGAGAAATCAAGGGCTGAGCACATGTGGAGTAGGTTTTTATACCCTCTGAAAGCCTTTTGTTTGGAATAGTTTCCTGTTCCTGTGGCATGAACTTTGAACTGAGTCTGTGTGCTTTTCTAGGCCTTGGTATCTGTGGTTTAATCCTATTATATCCCAAAAGTCATATCCTGCTTCCCTGGGGCTGGGCTAATGACTCTTAGAGTTTGGGTGGGGTATGCAGATTTTAGGTCTCTTTGTCTTCTTGAGTTTTCTGGCTCCAACTTTCTGATGGTTTTACATTTGCATTTGTATAGGGCTGGCTACTGCTTGGGACAGAGACTTGGGGGCAGGGTTGGTTTCTGCTTTTTAAAAATCCTTTTGAGGAAATATATTTTTCTGCCTTTTTAATATTTCCTTCTCTGGGGCTCTGACTTCCCTCAGTTGTATAGATTTCATGCAACAGCTATTTCATGATGAAATTTAAGGAAAGATTGTACTAAACAGATATTAGAGTTACCCAATTTCTATAGCCACTATTAATATTATCTGATTGGAAAATTATTTTCCCCAAAAGTGCTACTACTGCTACATTCTGCCTTTTCAGTCTGGGCTAGGGTGTGAAATTTGACTTTTCATACATTTTCACATTGTTAGGACAAAACTTTGCATATCGCCATAACAAGAGGACATGGCAGTGTTCAGCATGGCAAGAGTAGACTATGAAATAGCTTGAACTCTCTGCAGAAGACAAGAGGATGGTGGCTCAAATGCGGTGCCATTTAAATGAGAAATCTGATATTCTTCATATAACTAGTTCCTTTCTTTATAGCTCTTTTATTGACTTCTGCCCTCTCCCCATTTCCAAGGTTTCCTGAATGGCTTATAAAACTTAGTTATAAAACCAGTAATGATCAGGCTTATCTTTTAACAGAAGCATCATAAAAGGAAAATCAAATCAGGACTATGCAGATACCCAATGAATTAACCTTTATTATTTCAAAGACTAGCATAAGGGAGGCCAGCCTCCCTTCCCTGGCAGGATCACAAAGCTGGCTCTCTGCATTCAAGATATTTTGGAAACCCTGTCAATGGTTATTAATAAGAAAAAGTCTCTAACAGCACTGTAATGCCCCAGACAGAACAGATGGCCTTAGTCCTATCCAGGACAGACAGATAACTCAGAGGAATAAACAGAAAATATTGCTTTATTCTGGGAATCCTAAACAATAACTCACAATTATGTAGAGATGAATCTAGAAGTATATTTCAGCAACATTGGTTCATTCCACAGGTAATTTGATAATGGATTTTCCCTTCTTCTTCTGCATAAGCATCACATGTTGGCATAGGACCTCCAAGCCGTGTGGCTAGGAGACATGAGGCTGGATGAACAAAGGCATTCCAAACTGGCTTATGTCCAGGAAGTCTCCCAATGCCCTTTAGAAACTCCTTCCACTGAACCATTAACATGGGATGACTGACTAGCTAAACTACATTTCCCATAATCCATCTCTTAAGGAGACAGCACTTAACCCAATAAATGCCAGATATTCTAACATACAGATACATGCTCTCTAGTTAGAGTTACATAGAGTTATACGTCCAGAATAAGCACTTTGCTTCATTTCATTTCACCTCATTTCTAAGATGGCGGCGCCTGGATCGGCTGCAGCTGCATTGGCTCGCGAAGATGAAAAGTTTTGGGAGGGATATAAGGGATATAGGCCACATGATCGAGAAGGATTTAATGTGTTTGAGCAACATGGTGGAACCAAGGTAACGTACAACTGACAATCTTTGCTAGCATGGCGAGTTTCTAGCTGTTTTGGAACTGTTGGTGAGACAGTTAAAAGTCGTTGGTGCTTTTTGAAATTGTTCTGCCAGCAGCAAGATCTGACTGCTGGCCCAGCAATGTATTCTATTGCAAATCAGGGCTGTTTCCAAAGGAGGCAGAGAAGGAGAGGTCCTGGGGCTTATGGAGCAAAGGAACTGGATGAGGCTGTCAGCAGACCTAGAGGAAGGGAGAGAGTGGCAGCGTGCTCCAGGGGCGAAAAGAAGCAAGGCCTCTTTAAGGAAAAGGTGGAAGAGACAGGATCAGAAAAAGAAAAGGAGACGAGATTGTCCTGCAGGAATACAAGCTAATTTGAGGGCTAATCCACATGGAGCTCCATTTCCATCTGTCCTGTTTGCCATCGTTCGCTCCCTAGAGACTAAAATGGATGATCTGAAACTTGAGTTGGCCATAAACAAGGAGTGTATATTGGAGGTGGTGACCCTTTGAGAGCTGTAGGCAACGAAATTTCACTTTGATGTATTCCGATTGGTGTACATTCAAAGTGACAATAAAGTTGTTGTTGTTATTATTATTATTACAAAAGAATTTTTTAAAAATACAATATACAAAATAAAAATTACACAAAGAAATAAGAAACATCTTTAAAAAAACTTAAGAACTAAAAAAATAAAATAAACAATACATGGAAATAAAAAAATATTTTGTATTTCATATTTTTTATGTTTTTAAATTCTTCTTTATTTCACTCTCTTTATGCTGGTCTTTGATCATTTGTTGACTGATGGCGCAGATAACCAGAAAGAGAACTGGGTCTATTTTTCCTGGAAACAATTATAATGAAACCAGCAGTTAGGATTATATGGTGTTGAATTGCCTAGTATACCTGCTGATTTCCTTTATTTTTAAATGATAAGAAACATTTGCACATTTTCCTTATTCTTTCAGAATCAGCTTGCAGTAAAATACCTTAAACTTCCAAGAAAGTTTCAGTTATTCATGGAGAAAAGGATTTGTAGTGACACGGAAATATACATGATATTCATATACATCTGTGCTTCTGGCAAAGTATTTGTGATTATGTCTTATGTTCCTATGGCTAGGAAAAATTATTCCAAATTGAACACATTCTGGGTATAAGGTCTCAAATTTCAGGGAGTAATTATAACACATTATACCAAAAATAGAGATTGGTAGAAGTAGAAGTAAAGATAGACATAGAGATATTTTTTTTTCTTTATAGATAAGGAAAAATACATTGCATAAATGTCATGCAGTTCTTTTATTTGTTACGGTGCTCTCACCCCATACAAGCTTCTGAAGCCTTTCTTTGACAGGGTTATGTAGGAAAGATAACACTAATGAAGTGGTTTTGTGAGCACATGCAGAAGAAGAAAAATTCTTCTCTACTTTAAAGATCCAGGAGGAAAGAAGCAGGAGCCAATAAAGTCAGCACTGTACAACTACCTGGCTGCTGATTGGAGATGAACCATTTGTGTTTCTAATTAATCACCTTCTGATCGGGGAAGGACCACCTGGGCCCTCACCTTCCAGTGTTTTTGCACAGAGCTGACCATCTTTCTCTAATCTCAGCCATTCGCCATATCTGAGCTATAACCCTACAATTCCTGGCCAGCATGGGAAAAAAACGGGTGAGTATTTTTATTGATTTGTCTATACTTTATTTGTTACAGATATTTATATCCTATCTTTCGGGGAAAAAAACTTTCTCTTATTGTCTTGCAAACAAAATAAACAAGAAGGATCCCATGATCATTAAAACACAAACCCTCTGAGCAACGTTTATCAAAGCAGTTGGTAATAATGATAATGGTGGAAATTGTGTGAAGATAACATTTCAGACTGATTTCTGGATATCCGGTGAAGTGGGCATAGCAGCTCCTGCGTTTAATTCCTCTTATGAGAAGAGCGCATCTCCCTTCCCCTGTCTTTTGCCACTTTCTATAGAGGGGCAATGGAAAGCATCCTGTCATATTGTATTACTGTGTGGTTTGGAAGTATTCCTGTTTTGGACAGGAGGGCTTTGAAGAGAATGATGAGGATGGCATAAAAGATTATTGGACGTTCACTTCCTTCTATGCAGAACATGGCATATAAGCGCTGCTTGACCAGGATCTGCAGCATTGTCAGGGATGCTACACATCCTCTCCATGACCAGTTTTTACCTTTTGGGAGGAAGCAGAACAACTAGATTCTGTCATAGCTTTGTACCATGTTGTATCAGTAACTTGAATAGTTTCAAATGGAAATCTATGACATTAAGTGAAAAGGAAGATAGTCTTGAATTTAAGATGCTTCCTTTCGCAGGCAGGGAAAAAGCAGGAAGAAAGCAATTTTTAAAAACAAATCAATAAAATCTTTTCCAAAACAGTTTACCACTTTGTCAACAATTCTACATTGTCAATTCCATCTGAAACTAATGCACCAAAGCTTTGTCTTTGGAACATATTTCTCAAAATTTTATTTTTTCCTCTAGAATATCCTAGTGATCATACAACCCTAGCTGAGCCCTGCACAACTGCTCTGCATGGGTTTTACATGTGACTTCTGTATTTCTCTAATTTAATTAAATGCTTTTTAATTGTGCATAATCGTAAACTTGGATTAGCTGAGGCTAATTTCTGTGTATTTTGAGATATACAGGTGAAAATCAGAAGTTACTGGCCCCTTTCCCAACTAACCAATTTATTAAAAGGTATAAAAGTGATGCAGCTCATGAAAGTTTATGCTTTTAATGAAATAGGTTGGTCAGAAAAAGTGCTACTAGATACATTCTGATTTTTGGCTGCCATAGACTAATACAGCTATACTCCTACATTATCCAAGTGAGCATTTTAGTACACAGTCTTGGAAAACAATCTCTAAACACTTGAAGGTTTTGATCTGCTCAATGGTGTGTCCACCTAACTGTCAGATTGGCTATCTAGGATGTGTAGAAAAAGTAAGAGCCTTGGTAAGGGTGTTATTAATTTTTCCTTGTTGCAGGAAGAAAGGAGAGGCATGAAGCTTTTTTAAGGCTAGCAGGGATCAAGGCTTGCATATATTTACCAGAAGCAACATGCCTAACAAAATGGAAAAGTCAGCCCCCCTGCACTGAATTAAGAATTGCTAATTAAAATTCAATCAAATAAGATTCTCCCATCCAACATAAACCATATTCACATTAAGAATGCTCTCTCCCTCTCCCTCTCCCTCTCCCTCCCTCCCTCCCTCCCTCCCTCCCTCCCTCTCTCTCTCTCTCTCTCTCTCTCTCAGTTTTCTTCCAGCAGATAGAGCAAACAAGCAGAGGGGGAGAAAACTTCTAGGATGGAGATGGGATTAGAAAGGAATTGCATGAAGAAAGGAAGAAAGGTGAGGGGAAAAGGTGAAAAGACAATGAGTTTCTGTGGGTAGAAATCTTCTGTGGGCATGCTTAGGATCTGAATGCATGTGCATAATTTTTGAATGACATTCAGAAATGGCTAATTTCAAGTCTTCTTTAGAATCAGGGGGGAAACTTTGTGGGCAAATGCAGTCTCACAGATGGTAGCTCTCCATAAGCGTAGTTTAAAATTCTATATCACAACAATATGCTCCCTGGACTTGATGAAACTGTCTTCTTCATAATGCACATATTATAGAGCATACAGGACTACCTTTACAAAGGTTATCTCCAATTTAGTAACTCAGTCCATAAAGATTTAATTGTAATTAGAATTTCACTGGATATTTTTCATTGCTCTTCTTAATGTTAACTATCCATACAATGAGATAATAATCTGATTCCTACAATGCACTTAACTGAGTCAGCAGTAAGGCAGTCAGATCACTTCATCAATTATATTGGCAGCACACCATTACATTAATTCAGTTAAAAGTCAGTGTGAGAGCAAGTTGGTACAGTAGTTAAGGTGTTTACTGGCTCTGGGGAGATTCAGATTCTAGCCCACTCTTACTACTTGCTCTTTTTGTGTTGTCTTTAACCCTCATTATTATTATTGCTATTGTGATCATAGCATCACAGTTGAGTGGATCCTAATAGTTAGAATTTCTAAAAAGCTCTTATTTTATCTTATTGTCTGTCTCATTTTAGTGTGGGATGGTCTATTGGGATCTGAGTTGATGAACAAATCCTACACACCCTGTTCAATATTGGTAAGTCCTAAAATCAAGTCTCACTTCCTATTTTTGCCTGTAGCAAAATTTCACACCGAGAGGAACATATGAGAAATTCTGCAGAAAGTACATTTTTGATAAATAAAAGTTTCTCAAAGGAATTAGCTACATAATTGCACAAACAATTTATTTTGTAGTAACAGTTCATCAGTATCATAGGCACTGCTATGCAAGTTGCTTTTATTAGTACTGTTTAAAATTATACCATATAAAAATGCATGGTTATTATTTTTTATTCCAAGATGCTAAAATATTTATATCCAGACATCGGCTCATTGTTAATCTTTAATCAAAAATGATTTACTCTGTAGTAACATGATGTCAATACATTATATGTGGTTAACGCAGTTTTGATAAAAGATTCCAATAAAGTATCCTTATCAGTAAGTGAATGTTCATAATTCAACAAGGTAGGAAAGCAATTGCATTAAAGAGCCAAGATAATTGTTAACAACCAATACAGTAACACAGACTGAAAGAAAAATATGTATTGCTCCTTCTTTGCAGTGGGTATGCTGTAAGAAAGTTATCATTGATCCAAGGTTGATGTGCAGAAGTGCTGGAAAGGGAAAATGGTTGAAAATATAGCAGGCATCTTATTCTCATGGTGATCTTGTTTAAGTTCCTAGTTGATATCCAAATCTAATTTTATCATTATCCTCTATCTTCAGGAACTTTTTTCTGATTCTACAGTTCCACCATGCAGGCTTTGAGCAACTTTTATCAGACGTATCCCCTGAGCTGTAGGATTGTGACTTGACTCATGCTTGGAAAACTTTCCAATTTTCAAGTTCCAAAGAAGATAATTATTGACTCTCAGAAGTGGAAATTATGATTGATTGACAAAGTGGTCTTACTGTAAATCCCATTCAAACGCCTGTCATTGCCTCTGCAGCAGAATAGACTGTCCATATATACAGAATCACATTTAATTTCCAAACACTTTCTCAGGCAATGGGTATCAGGCCCTTACTTGCAAATAGACAATCACCCAACTTGAAGCAGATTCTCATAATGCCAAGCAGACCTTGCAACAAACTCAGATGTTTAGTTGCTTCCACCTCTACACCAACAGCACCATTCTAGACCTACAAAGATTATAGGCATCTCCATGTGCTCTTCCTCCACTGAGATATATGCGTCATCTGCCAACAATGCCCCCATGGTTTTTTACTTAGGAAAAATGTGACAAACTTTGTGGGAAAGAATTAATGGACACATGCTTGACATCTGAATGCCAAACAAGGACAAAGTAGTGCCAGAGTATTTCAATGTGGGACGGTCTATAGCAAATCTCAAAGTGATTGTTTTATATCAAAATGTCCAACCAGTTACATCATGTATTTTAACACATTACAACTGTTAATTGATATTTGTATCTATGTGATTTTTTGATAAAAATACAGGAGTGGATTACCATTGCCTTCTCCCTTGCAGCATATATTAATGCTATTGTCATGTGATCGCCTGCCTCTGGCATATTCCTTTATTGCTGCTGCCCATTATAAATTCTTGCTTGATTTAGCTAAGCAGCCAGGATGACCTTCACCTTGGGTGACCCTGCTGGGAATATATAGTCTTGGCATACATTACTGATGTTCTTTTCCTATCCATCGCAGGAGTATTCCCATCCAAGATAAGGCAACACAGTAGGACTTGGAAGGGGTTAATTGACAAAATACTTTTGTAATCTGCCTCACCTATAATCTGCATTTTTGTAACCAATCTATGTTCTTCTTTCCCCTTGTCTTCCACTTCCCCCCACTTTAAAACCTGCATTATCTTAAGCCCTCTATGTATCTAATGAAATGCACTGCAGCTCCCAAAAGGTTATACCTGTTAATAAAAAGTCTTAATAAGGAAAGATGCTCCCACACTTCCAATTTTATGGCAAAATAAGATACCTGTAACTTGCTTAGCCATCCCCCCACACACTCTTTATTTCCACAATTTAATTTTCTTCCATCATTGTGAACCAAAAGGCAGTTCAGATGCCTTTTCCTACCTACTTGTATTGGCTACATTCAAATGGTCAAAGAAATGATATATTTGTATTGGCACAAGTGATCCATTGAAATGTGTTGATGTTCCTCTTAGGAACATTCATATGCCAAAGGACAAAAAAAAATGATATTAAGGTTCCTTAATGGACAAATTGAATTGGGCAAAATGTATTGATTCACACAACATTCAAATGGTCTAAGTCTCTAAGAAATGATATAAATAGTTCACACATGTATTGATCTATAAAAAAGAGATAGCTTAAGGAGTAACACTTGTACTCGCTGTGATTTTATAAAGAACAATGAATGAATCTCTGTCTCCAAGAGCCCATCAGACAAGTGGTTACGAGCAGTGGTGGGATTCAAATATGTGAACAACTGGTTCTTTGTGTGGATGCTGCTTTTTCTGGGCCTGGGCAACAAAAAAATTAGCTACCGGTTCTGCTGAAGTGGTGCGAACTGCAGAATCCCAACACTGATTATGAGAAGAGAACATCATATTAAATTTTAATCCTATTTAATATTGCCTTTACTTTCCCCATCCCCACTGAGCCTTTAAATTTTATTCCACTTCATTATTTATCAGATTATCTTTAGAATATAATGAGGTCCAAAGGATTATAACAAAATGGTTGTTACCGAAACACACAGAGATATTCATTCTCCTTTTTCTAAACCAAGGATCTATGTTTTATATGGGAATAAAGATGGCAGCTCCATCATTTCATTGGAATTCATTTTTTAAATTATAACTATATACCAGCAACATTGAATTCCAGATTGGGAAAATAAAATGCGACTTCCATTTATTTCTGTGGGGTTTTATAGAAATATTGCAAAAGTCCAGAATACAGAATAATAGAGTTGGAAGGGACCTTGGAAGCCTTCTACTCCAACCCCCTGCTCAAGCAGGAAACCCTATATCAGTGATGGTGAACCTTTTAGAGACCAAGTGTCCAAACTGCAACCCAAAACCCACTTATGCATCGTCGGGTGCTGGGTGGGTGTGGCCCATTGGGTGGGCGTGGCTGCGGTGGTAATGGCAGACTGGGTGAGACTAAAAAGTTCAATCAATCAATTCCAACTTTGCAAGATCTTTTTTTTTCCCGCAAGAAGTTGAAATTGACTGATTAATTGAACCTTTTTTTTGTACATGGCGGCAGAGGCCTAAAGTGAAAAGGTTTTATAAAACCCAGCTGAAGGCCTAGGACTGGGGCGACGGTGCGTGTGCCCACAGAGAGGGCTCTGAGTGCTGCCTCTGGCACTCGTGCAATAGGTTCCCTATACCATTTCAGACAAATGGTTGTCCAATCTTTTCTTTAAAAGCTCTAGTGTTGGAGCACCCACAATTTCTGGGGGCAAGCCATTCCATTCATTAATTTTTCCAACTGTTAGGAAATTTCTTTTAGTTTGGTTCTCTCCTTGATTAGTTTCAATCCATTGCTTCTTGTCTTGACTTCAGGGACTTTGGAGAATAGGTTGACCCTCTCTTCTTTGTGGCAGCCCCTTAGATATTGGGACACTGCTATCATATCACTCCTAGTCCTTTTCATTAAACTAGACATACTAATTCCTGTAACTGTTCTTTGTATATTTTATTCTTCAGTCCTCTAATATTCTTTGTTGCTCTTTTCCTACCAAGGCATTAACACTTCATGTGAACTTGATTCTATCCCTCTTTTAATGCAGCCTAGGACTTTGTTAGCTTTTTTGGCAGCTACATCACTCTGCTGGCTCATTGAAGTGATTGTCCATTAGTGATTGTCGTACCTGTTCAGCCAGGTACCATCTTTTCTATACCTGTGCATTTGATTTTTATTGCTGAAGTGTAAAACCTTGCTTTTCTCTACATTGAATTTCATCTTGTTAGATAGGGTTCAATGTTCAAGTCTGTCAAGATCCCTCTGTATCTTGAGCCTATCTTCTGGAGTATTGGCTATTCTTGCCAGCTTGGTGTCATCTGCAGATTTGATGATTCCCCTTCTATTTCCTCATCTAAGTCATTGACAAGGATATTGAAGAGTAATGGGCCTAAGACAAGGGTCAGCATGCGGCTCTTTGAGCCTTCTCCTGCAGCTCCCAGCCTTCTCTGCCTTTGCAGAGAGAGAGAGAGAGACAGAGACAGAGACAGAGAGAGGCACTTGCGCTCCCCCCCTCTGTGTAAAAGAGAGTGTCCTCACCGTGTTCTCTGACAAGTTGACAAGCTTTTTGGGTGGGGCTCCTGCCTTGGCTGCGTCTCTGCAGGAAGCAGGAAGGGTGGAGAGAGCCAGCCCAATAAGAATCTGTGCCAGCTTGACTTCCGGTTCCGGAATACGTCGACGCCGGTCGTGCCTGGAGACTTGTCTCCGTGCCGTCCGGAGTTTCCTTCGCCGGTAGACCCCCTAGGGGGTCAAAAGTCACCCTGGAGGGGTGACCACTGAGGAGGAGGCTTGCTGGTAGATAGGGGAGGTTGGCAGCTTCCCCCGTGTCTCCAGCTATCTCCTTAGGACCGACAGAACAAAGATCGGCCTGCAAGATGGCTGATCACCCTGCTGCAACAGCTGAAAGTCACATTGTCCTCTAAGCATTATAGACCCACCGCGGATGATCTGGGTGAGACCCCTTTTGTTCCTCTCTTCACCCCATGCTGTTTTTGACTGTAAAAGCTTGTCCTTGGAATTATTTCCCTGTCTGGAAATAATTCCCTGTAATGGTGGGAACAAAGGCGTTTTATAAAAGGACAGAAAAAAATTCATTTAAAGACTATACTTTATCTCTATCTACATTGAGGTACAGAAAAAAATGTTCTTTTATTTTTTTTTTTTTGAATGGTATTATTTTATATTGGGAGAATATTTCTTTTTCCACTCTTTTTTTAAGAAATAGAAAAGAAAAGAAAAAAAATGGTGTTTTGAAACAGACTTTTTAGCTTATTGAAGACATCTACTGGTCAAAAGTTAATATTGTAATTGTTAACTATTTGGAAATGATTTTGGCCTTCAAACTATTTTTCAAGAGATAAGATAATTTGAGCCAGCTGTGAGATTTCTGGGGGTGGATACTCTTCAACTGTAGCCTCCACAAAAAAAAAAGAAAAAAAAAAAGAAAAAAAGGATTGCTTTTCAACTATTGTTAAAATGGAGAAGCCTCAATCACATTTAAACTGTAAACTTATACTGGAAAAGATCTATTTGGCCAAAGAAGAAATATGCACTACAATAAAAGAGTTTACTATAGAATTAAGAGCCAGAATCTCTACTGTAAACCTCAAAATTGACTCTCAGATTACAACTGACTACTCTAAAAAACAGACTATACAAGAAGAGGATTTAACTGAGAATAAAGAGAAATTTATCTTGCCTTATAAACTTATGGCTTTGAGGACCAGGAAACTTTTGAAGCAGTGAGGACTTATGGACAAGAGAAACAGAGGGCCAATGCAGAGGCCAAGATGGTTTTCATCGAATCAAAGGACACTACAAGCAACAAAAAGAGACTTATCAGCTGGAAGGGAAGCTCTGCTATGGAAACCTGCCTGGCAAAAGAGGAAGGCTAGAATAAGATTGAAAAATGAAATTTAAAATTTTATGCATTGGACTAAAGGCAATCTAGAACTATGGACTGATTTAAGGATTAAGATTATGAGTTAGAAGTAAAGAGATGTTTTATACTTGGATTGAATTAATAATTAATTGAATGTTAATCAAATAAGATGACTTGTTTGTTTCATAATATGGATGTTATTAGCGGTTATAACTAATTGGATGAAATTTGTATTCTGCTTAATGGATTGATATGAATTAAGGTTTGATACTTTTCTGTCAGCTTAAACAGATTGATTAATTGATGGATTAGATATGTATAGGATAGATAGACATGTACATTTATGTATATATAGCATAGATCAATATTTTTGTTTAAAAATGAGATATCTTCTATATAATGGATTAAAGATAATCTAGAATATTAAGAATGTATTTTTTAGAACGATACATTTATTTGTATGAAAATTATTATGTAATGGAATGAAGAAAATTGAGATGTGTTAGATTTGGATTGAATTATTAATTAATCGAGTTAATTTAATAAGATGATGTGTTTGATGACATGGATGTTATTAGTTATGATAATTAATTGGATGAAATTTGAATTCTGTCTAATGGATTGAAATGATTTAAGGTCTGATATTCTGTCAGCTTAAAGAGATTGATTAATTGATGGATTAGATAGGTATAGGATTGATTAATATTTTATTTTAAATAGGGGAGATTATTGTAAGAAGAAATAAATAAATCATGATGAAATTAAGGAACTAGAATATATGTGGAAGGGATACCTGAATTGATAAGGTTTTTATTTAAAGCTAACTTGATTACAGTATTCTAAATTTATAAAGCTTAAATAGGTTCAGGTGGAATAAATTTAAGCTAGAGCTGGATATTTTAAATATACTATACTATCTGAGGGGAAAAGAAAGGGAATACCTGATGTATTGATTGTACTATGTATATATGTTTTGTTCTAGGTTGTTTGATTACCCCAGCACCATGGTGTGTCCTGAGTACTTTATTTTAAGAATTAAAAACAAACACAATAAAATGTGTTTCAAAAAAAAAAAAAGAATCTGTGCCAGCTTGATGGAGAAGAACCTGAAGCCAGCTTGCCAGGTGAGCAGAAGATCGGAGAGAGGGAGAGAGGGGGAGAGAGGGGGGGAGAGAGAGAAAGGGGAGAGAGAGAGAGAGGAAAGAGAGAAATAGAGAGAGGGGGAGAGAGAGAGAAAGAGGGAGAGGAAAGAGAGAGGGAGAAAGAGAGAGGAGAGAGAGAGACAAAGAGAGAGGGGGAGAGAGAGAGAAAGACGGAGAGGAAAGAGAAAGAGAGAGAGAGAGGAAAGAGAAAGAGAAAGAGAGGGAGAGGAAAGAGAGAGAAAGAAAGAGAGAGGGAGAGAGAGAGAAAGAGAGAGAGAGGAAAGAGAAAGAGAAAGGGAGAAGAAAGAAAGAGAGGGGGAGAGGAAAGAGAGAGAGAGAACTCATGCACAGCAGCCTCTATTTCTTTTT